CGAACTGAACAACCAAAATTCACTTACTGCCCTATAATGCTATTTTTCGCTCTACAATATAAACTTTTATGTGCGCGCTGACCTTAGAGGAAAAATACATGTTATGTAACGTGTCGATACAGTGTGCTTCAATAATGTGATTAATGTGTTTGAAAGCTTTCACACTAACATTTCAAATAAAAATGCTGTACATCAATAATATCTTTTTGATTTTTACGTTATTTTTTATCTGTATGTCTCCCACCATCAAATAGAGCGATTATTATTACAAAATTTTAGCTCTCGGTTTTTTTCATGCTTAAACTAAACCACCTAACTGAATGGGTCTCATTCAGTGAATATAATTAAAAGTTAGTTCTTTGGTTCCCGAGGTTATATTGATAAATACTGCAATGTCAGCTGCCTTTCTATCTAGCTTAACTTGCACTTTGTGGCAAGCAGGAAGTGACAAACCCCCTCATACCTCTAATATCACTAGAAATCTTTTCACGGTCAAATTCCCTCTTCACTTCACGCTATTCTTTTTATCCCCACCACCAACCTCTCTCCTATTACTTCATTCATATCCATCATCATTGCTAACTATTCGAGTTTGCGAGGCTATTTCCAGTCTCTTGAAACCTCTCTGTAAACTACACGTTAGGGGTCTTAGTGTTCAGACCTTATATTAAATAGCCCAAAAGGTTCTCTTAGTTAGGATTCTAGAATCTGTCATCATTAATGTATATTGTCTCTGAAACATCCTGCAGGATCCAAGTGTGACCATCCACTTAACTTTATCTAGTCAATACATAGAAACCGCACGATTTACTCTCCATGTATCCAAAGACTTGAATGCCGCCTCTCGTTGCCTTGATGGTGTTAGCATACCATTAAGTTCAAACGTGGGACAGGCTTTCATGAATTGAATCCCAACAGATAGTCGCCTTTGCTCTATTCAACCAGATGCAGAAGCGAGAACACGGAAAGATGGGAACATCCACTGTCGTATCCCTCTACGCTCGCACTGACCGCAGTTCCGAAGAGGTAAAGAATGGGTTTTATGGGAATCTTTCTGCTCTCCTACAGAAGTAGGTAATCGTAGCAGGAGACTCACGCTTATTTAGGTAGGCTAAACGAAAGTGAAAGACACTGAGGTAAGTTTTACATCATCTCAGCTCAGAAAACAGAGGATGGCGACTGGCTACTGCAACAATGTTCAGACTTTCTAGCGGCCAAAGCAAGACGTGATATCAGTACATGAAGACACTGGCTGTTGGACTGATCCGTGTAGGTAGGTGCAGATGACTTGGTTGGGTTTCGCATGACTACCTTAACCAATGATTAGAGATTGAATAACAGCCCAAGGTCGTTCGCAATGACACAGAGGCGCATTCACTTAGTTTCTAGGTCTCTAAATTCCCCGTAAATATTTTTCGTCACTGATTTATACCTTCTCGAATCGTTCTTTGGACACAGTCTTTTCTACTATTACTACTACCACTCTGGTATTTACCCCGACAAATTCGTCTCACTATACTGATGCGGTATGGCAAGCTGAACCAATGTACACATGTGCCACGTTCTACGTTGGGTTTGACTCACCGACTAAATTATAGTTCTGAATAATAAATTAAGAGGTTTAGCTCAAATTTCTTCAATTTAATATTAACTATCCATAACCCTACCTATATTTTTCAAAGATCATTTATACAAACTGTAACATCTCGTAGCTTCCTTTTTGAATTTTGAGTAATTGAGTTTACTTCATTCTTTTGTGACAGAGTGGAGAAGGTCGCACCTCAAATAACAGAAGTTTCTGAAGCTCAGAACATAACGGTTGTGTCACGTTTATCTCCCCATAAAGGAATTCAGTACACTCGCCCAACTCATAACTTTATTACTACCCCTCCTCGAGATTCAGTTGTTTCGACTGGCTCTGTTGTTGTGATTCGACCAATTGGCAATGCTTCCACTCCAATAAATGTAACTACTGCAGCTTCTTCATCAGGTCTAAAAATCACTCCTATTGTTCCCTTAAAAATATCCTCGATTCAATCCACATCAAATGTATCTCGTTCAAATTCCATACCAACTCAACTACGAAATACTGCAGTGTCATCCTCTGCAAGGGCGAGCAACCTCATTACTCATTCTGTTCGTCCTCAAAATGTTCAGTCAGGAAGTACTGCACTTAATGATGTCTCTGAGAAACTCAAAACCATTGATGAGAAACAAACGTCTCAACGTAATGTTATCGGAGAGATGCAGGTATGATATTTACCAAAGTCTTAATTGGGCTTTTTAAGATACCTAATATTAACTAAACACTTTTAGTCAGTCTAATTCACTGTAGTTGTAGAAGTAAATTTATAAGGACGATTTGAAATTAACTTTATTACTGTTGACAATAAATGAAAATTATCTGCACAAGGGAGGACTGTACGGTCAACACAACAGTTAACTGGCAATTATTCTAGCAGTGATCAGCTTGTAACTGTACGGTCGTTTAAATTATAACGTTTCAAATTTAAAACAAAATCTTCAAGATGCACAACAGTTCATTAGCCTTACACATGTCTTTCTGAGTAGTCATCCTCATACTATGTAACAACGTGCTATACTACTTAGTATTTCAAACAATAGCGGAGCAGGTTTAGACAGGTGAATCACTAGTTAAAAACTGATTGAGTACGTAGGTTCAATCAACCTCACAAACATTTTTTCAGTATAAACCATATATAAATCAAATTAATTCAGAAGTTGTCTGAAATGATAAAACGTTAAATGCTAAGTTTGTGTGATAGAAGAAAACAGTTATATACTAAAGGAAATTATTGATCAGTATCAGAAGGGGTTTTGTGGAGATTGTTGAAATTATTGATCGTTTGATAATTAGTTTTGACAAAAATGTCATATCGAAATTAGCAAACAATTTCTATTATTCATATGATTTAACTCTCTAGATCGAAATAAACCGTCTTTGTATCACTCAAAAAACTAGTCACGGATAAGTGCAAGAGATTGTAAAGTTCTATTAAAAGTAGTACTTTTATTAGCTTATATGAAAATACTAAAATCAATAAATCATAAATCGATCAAACTAAGGATTTTGTACCCCCGAGATTTTAATTGATCTTATTTGCCTATAAATAACACAGTTGTGTCTTCATATTTTAGGTTAGAGTTCCAAACAAGAAGGACAAAAGATTTAGTGTATTGCGTTTCCATGCAGCTGACAGGCTTGATTTATCATCAGCCCCTGAAGTTTTTATGCAACGTGAAAATAATCTTAAGGCTTATCGGAGTTTATACAATACAACCGAAATGCCAGACACTGGTGCTGGTAGTGAATTCGGCCGCGAAGCTAAAGAAGAGGCAAGATTAAAAAAATTTGGTGTTGTACGAGAAAGTTATAAGCCAGATGATCAACCTTGGCTAATGACGGTTGGAAAAGGCAAGGCTAATCGCTGTCGTTTTAGAGGAGTTCGAGAAGGTAGTATGTCAGAGAATGTCGAATATTTTGTATTTTGCCAGTGCAAAGATGGTAATTTCGATGCTTATCCGGTAAATGCTTGGTAAGTAGCTTTTTGGTTCTATATCGCCATTTACTGTCTACCCAGCCGATCACTGAGTCCTACACTTTACTGATTTCAATATGAAATTTACACGTTAATTTCCAAATGGAAATATTCGCGTGGCCCGGAAAGTTTGTTAAAAGCGTGATCACTTCATAGTAATAGTCTTTAAACCTACATATAAAGTTTTATCTTTCTTTAGACGCTTCACTGCGCATAAACTAAATAAAACATTATGGTGACCACTCAGTGAGTTCTTATTACACCACATTCAAAAATCCGTAGTGTTCTATGCTTTATGATCCTTTAGTGGCCCTGTATATCTGACTCTAGTTAGGTCGGATGAACGATTGTTAATGAAAGATATGTATCGTCAATCCTCGTATATAATTATCAACTTAATTCGCGTTAGTGAAAAACGGAACTAAATAAGTTAAATACGAGAACGGATTTCGAATACATGTATTTCATACAGTTGTTGATCCAGACACAAACGATCGAAGAAACTGGTTTATCCAGAAGCTAGAATAAGCTATGTGGGCTCGACATAGAACAAGTCACTACAATCCCACCTCGCTTTGAATGATACTAATTCATTGGATTGTAAATCGTTTGGTTAGATGTTCAAATCTTAGTATTGATGTGATGCATTTTTCACACTGCGGTTTCAGGTAACAGCAGTATGATTAAACCAGGGTATGATTAGTGTTTTCCACTTTATTTCAGTAGTTTTATCGTGAAATAGGCATTTTCCTCTCACTGTGTTATTTTTGGATTGTGGTTTAATCAGTGGACGATCATTGTATCGCGTACCTCATCTTAATCTATATTTTAGTGTGTTACATCAATGACTCGTACTAAACTGATGTCTCAGTTACATGCTTTTCTTTGAAGGTGATTTTACAAATCCTGTAATTACCTTGACCAAAAGAGTTTAAGATGTCCACCAGTCCAACTTTCACACATTTCTGTTCATGATAAGGTGCCCTTTCTAGATCGTAATGTCATTCAAACTATTTCGCTATATATTGAAAAAGTCATAATGTATTTTCTCAATTCCTTTTGATAATACATCTTACTCTAACTGTAGAATCCTTTACAGTTTCTCATCAAAAATTGTATTCCACTTAACGGCGTTTTCAATACATAATGGGTTTTTTCTCAGTGCTTAGACGCTTTAGAACAGTCAGTACATAACACCAGATAAGCTCTAGATATTCAGTGAAGCAAAGTTATATGAATTTCCCCACCGGCAAAAATATTATTGTAATGTTTGCTTAACCATATTGACTATCATTTCTACTACACCAAATTATAAACCGTTTCCATTTACCGTTAAGAATATTGCATATTTTTTAAATTTTGCTACCCCGTTAACAAAATATTGTCTTTTAGTATGACACATCACCTCAATGATACTGCAATCTTTTTTCCAAATTACCTAATACACTTGCAAATATTCTTTCTGTTATTTTCGATTTATAAATAGGTACAAGATGAAACCGGAAATAAGTTATCGTTTTCTTCGAGAAGATGAAGCTGAAGCAGAATATAGCCGCCTACACAAAACCCTCAACTTATTTAACGTTATGGTTAAACGGAAACTCACCGATAACGTTAGTGACGATGAGACAAACATGGATCGAGAAATTTCGAAGGGATTAAAGTAGGTCCGATTATCTATATAACAATTCTTTACATTAGGAGCATAAATCCCCATTAAAACGAGCTAAACTTTTCTAGTAAATCGGATCTTTTTGATTAACTTATTCATTAGAACTCAGAATTTCAGACTTCTGTTTTTTTATGCATTTCATTTCAACTCATTAAGTAGCAAAATTTCGTATTTCTCGGTACTCATTCTAACATGTATTCATCAGAGAATCAGTGTAGATATGACTTTTTTTTGTTACTCAACTGACTCAAAAGCTTTGTAGTAAGAATATTTTGAAACAATAATCTAGATTCAGAGCCCTAACACTTTCATACCAGACATAAATTTCAGTTTTATTGTTTTCACTCATTTCATTCTGCTTTCAGGTTTCTAACTTCCCTCGGAGACTCCAATTCAAATCAGCGAAATTCAACAGAAGTAAAAACTAAGGATCTGAAGCCTGAAAACACTTTAAAGCTTACTGATTTGGAAGAATTGGACAGTGGTAGTGAGGCTGATGATGACGATGATGAAGATGATCTGGGTGATGATAATCGCTTGAAAAATCCGAACGCCGATCCACTCAGAGCAGAAGAAGGCCCAAGTTCTAGTAAAGGGAAAGGTCTCTTGTTTGAAGATCCTGATGATCGTAATAAAGGTGGATCTAAAGGTGGTTTACTAAAGACGTCCGAACGCACTCGCCTTGCTAAAAAGAAGCAGCGTGCAGCTGCTATTGTTACAAAAATGAGACGTGGTGTTAAAAGGCGTAAACGAAAAGCTATTAATATGGGCTCCTCGGATGAAGAAGATGATCCAGACGAAGAAGCACAAGATGAGAGTGAATTAGACGATCACGAAGGAGATGAGGTAAAACATATTTCTTTATTGATACCCTTATTTTATTTATTAACTTGTCTTAACCACACCTTTTGCTTTCTCAGGAATCTGTCTGTAACTTTAAAGCTGAGAATCGTGCCACATATTTAAAACTAAGAAGTTGATATATACCATTTTTTATCAATTCATGAAATATGTATGTACTCTTTGAATTTGTTGGTTTAACGTATACTTGACATAAAGTACATACTTTTATTTTAATGATGATAGTATATATATACTGAATATAATTACAGAATTCACGCCAGTTTACAGGCGTGATCAGCTTGATGTAAGTAGTAACATTGAATGTAGAAGACAAACGTGTGATATAAAATTGTTTTAAGTGTACTAGTTCAACAATTGTTTAGGTAGTACATTTATGACATGTATTGAAGCAATGAAATGCATCGGCCGGGAACTTTTAATTCTTCTTAAGTGGACATGCTGTTGATTTATGAACGGTGCATTTTAGGTCATTTCCTGCGTCATAACGAATTAATTACAATCATCTACAACTAGAGAAAGTAAAATGGAAACAGATAGCACGGAACAACATAGCAATAATTACCAAAATATGTCAGTCAGGTCTTCCATAATGGATATGTCATGTGACTCAGTGATATACTGTTCATTTTAGGTATTATTCAAATTAGTTAGAATCCCCGCGGACGGTGTTAACGTAGAGTAACAGCAGGTAGGTGGTTTTACTTAGTGAATTCAGTGATACGAATGTCTAAACATTTAAAATTTTTATAATCTCACTTCTGGAATAAGATACCTGCGCTAGATTTCATGCATTTTCATAGGAGCAGTTATGCATCGACGCAGCGAACAAAGGATGGGAGTAATTTTATCTTACAGATAGATTGTGGTAGGTTATTCCACAGTCTGGTTGTAGTACTCGAAGTTTCAGCTTCGTACAGTATATATATATATATATATATATATATATATATATATATATATATATATATAAGCAAAAGTGTTACCAATTCACCAGTGAACTAAAGAAATTCAACTTGATAACTACTGGAGAATATTCGTCAGTTATCTAAAAAGAAACCATGACATTTCTTATAAGGATGCTAGATGAAATACAAAAAACTATCAACATATGAACATCTAGTGTATTACTACTGACTTAGGTTGACAAAAACTTATCGAAATACAATACTATATGCGCCTATTCTGTCTATTACAGTCCAAAGATTAATATATATCCGATCAAGCTGTAAGTAATGATGAAAAAGTCAGAGACGAAGCTATCGCAAAGAATTAATGCTATACACTTCGACCTAAACATTTAGTAAAACAGTTCTAATCTAAATCTAGTCTTAATTATAGTTATTATTATATGTGTTATGACCTTGGATGTCTGGCTTTTCTATCACACGATTTATCTACCAATCCGAATACGACTTATACGAACCTTCACACTAGGCCAACCAATGACGTTCAACCGGTGTGGGCAGTTTAGCGTCCTTATTGGTCCTATGTCCTCCGAGCCCTTCCACTTGAGTCCAGAACACAATACCGACTTCCGTAATATGAATCGAATCGTTTATTTCAGGCATACTTGGTTTATATATCAATCAGACAGTCCACAACGTACCATAAAATAGGAAATAATATTTGTACACAAATAACCCCAAAAAGTGGCTGTGAATGTGGGAGGCAGTAGTTAATAAACTGAACATAACTTAAGAACCGTAAATCGTACAATAATAAATTATAGGTCAAAATAAAGCTTGTCATAAGAGGGATATAAATATACATAATGTAATTGTTGAATAGTTATACAATAAGAATATTTATAAAATATTAGTCCATGAATAGTCCTTGGAAGTTACCTGTAATTTAATCTTCACCGGACATAACACCTCCCCTTTTTTCGAAGCACTAGAGATAATAGTGATCCTTAGGATTTATTTTTATTCTATTGGGTTTTCGTCTGATGCGCTGCAACCTCCTTGGGAGTGTTTCACACGTCTCGTTATTATTCGGATCATTTTTAATTACATTATTAGTCTCAGTTAATATATTTATTGGTATATTCGACTTTGTAGCATTTTCTGTCTCTCGTTCTTGTCTAGTTGGCTGTATCTGGTTTGTATGTCTCACCCATATCTTTTGTCCAACTTTTACTTCGTAGATAACTTTCCCTTTTTTTCGTATTATTATGCCAAACTTCCAAGTTGGCTTTACTCCCGTGAAATCTCTTGCCATTACCGCTTGTCCCACCTTAAACCTTCTGGGCAATGCACTATGCCGCTTATCGAATTGCTGTTCCATTCGTTTGTTCTTTCGGAGGTTGGCTCTAAGCTTTGGTTTCATTTGCTCCATAGGTATTCTAATCTTTCTCCCAAAAATTGCTTCTGCTGGGCTTTCTTGATTATTTGTTGCTGGGTTTGGTGTTGCTCGGTAGGTTTGTAGAAATCTTTGAATCATCTCTTCTATTTCCCCTTCACCCTCAGCTTTAAGTAGTGCTCTTTTAAACGTATCTACGAACCTCTCGACTAGACCGTTGGACTGCGGATGGCACGGGGGTGTCTTTATATGATTAACTGCATTTGCGATGCAGAACTTCGAGAATTCAGCGGAGGTGAACTGTGGTCCATTATCAGACACCAATACATCTGGACACCCAAAACAGCTGAATACTTGTCTCAGTTTTTCGATAGTAGCTTTCGTCGAAAGAGATTTAACGTAGTGGATCTCTGGCCATTTTGAGAAAGCATCAACCATCACTAAGTACTGTTTCCCGTTTATGGGACCGGCGAAATCTACGTATACTCTTGACCATGGATTTGTTGGTGTTCCCCAACTCTGCATTTCTGTCTTACGACGGGCTTTGATAGCTTTTGCACACGCAGAACATGTCTCAACATATTCTTTGATCTGAGCGTCAATATTCGGCCAATATACATATCCACGTGCAAGTGCCTTCATCCTTGCTACCCCTGAGTGTGCGGCATACAGTTGTGACATCACCTTACGGCGTAAATTTGTGGATACAATTACTCGATTTCCAAACATCAAGCATCCATCCACAAGTGATAGTGAATTCCGACGGTGGAAATACTGTTCAATATTTTTGTCGTCTATATGGGCAGGCCAACCATGTTCGAGGTATCTAATAATCTGCTTCAATTCATCATCTTCTTGAGTATAGCGTCTAATATCTTCAGAGGATAATGGTGTTGCTTTTATGGCAACTTGTAGTATATGGTGAATGTCATTTTCCAACGATATCGTTGCGATAATAGAATCTTCACTTTCGTGCTTCTGATTCGCAATTAATCGAGATAAAGCATCAGCTTGTCCAAAGTTTTCAGTTGGTTTATATAGGATTTGGAAATCATAAGCAAGCAACGTAATAGCCCAGCGTTTAATCGATTCGCTGTATATGCAGGAATACCTGCCTTCTATCCAAATATAGATAAAAGCGGCTTGTGGTCTGTTAAAAGCGTAAATCGACGACCATAAATCATTTTATGAAATTTCTTTATTGCAAAGACTAAAGCTAATCCTTCCTTCTCAATCTGACTATATTTTCGCTTGGCTGAGTTAAGAGTTCGGGATGCATGAGCAATTGGCTTTTCTTTACCATCAGGAAAACGATGACTGATAACGGCTCCAATTCCATAGTTTGAAGCATCGGTGGCTACAATCATTTCAAGCTCTGGATTATAATGAGTCAGCAACAGTTTAGAAGATAAAATCCTTTTTATTTCATCGGAAGAATCTTGGCATTCTTTTGTTCAGTGCCATGTTGTATTAGCCATCAAGAGTTGATTTAATGGTTGTCGCAATTTATACATCTGGGGTACGAACATACTATAATAACCAATCATCCCCAAGAATGAACGAAGGGTTGTAACCTCAGTCGGTCTGGGCATATTTTTGATAGCATTTATATTGTCTGGATCCGGTCGACGACCATCTTTATCAAATATATATCCCAGGTATTTAACAGACTCGAGCAGAAATTCACACTTTTCTTTTTGTAACTGAAACCCAGCTTGTGATATTTTAGTGAGCACCACATCTAACCGACGCATTAATTCCTGCGTGGAAGAGCCAACAACTATATTATCATCCAAATAAACTGCTACACCTTCGATGTTAGACACCATAGTATCCATTATCTACTGGAAAATTGCTGGAGCTGGCTTAACACCAAACGGTAATCGGTTAAATCGATAAAGTCCACGGTGGGTATTAATGGTTAATAACTCCTTTGAATCTTCGTCAACTTCCACCTGTAAGTAAGCTTCAGACAAATCAAGTATAGAAAAATAACGTCCACCGTTCAGTTTAATAAATAAATCCCCTGACAAAGGTAATGGGTATGAATGATTTTGTAAAGCGTCATTTAATCCTGTTGAAAAGTCTGCACAAAGGCGAATAGCTCCGCTCGCTTTCCGAACTACTACAATTGGTGCTGCCCATGCCGAATAATTAACAGGTTGTATAACACCGAGTTTCTCTAGTCGGTCTAATTCTTTGTCGACTTTGTCAATAGCTGCATATGGAACTTGACGCTTTGGACGGAAAACAGGTTTTACACCCTGTCGTAGGTATAATTTTGCCTTCTCAATTGTGCAGCATCCCAATTTATTCTGGAACATGTTTTTATGTTTCTGCAAAAGATCTATCGTTACGACTTTCTTGGTTACATGAACTGTGGGTGGATCTCTAGGATTATTTGCGCTTTTCATTGTGCATATTTCATTTAATGGTACATCCCATAAATTTAGTTTATCTATCCAGTCTATACCAATAAGGTCTAACTCATGTCTGTTCGTTAAGTAACAATTTCCTGTAAAGTAATTACCTCGGAAATTAACAGAGCATTTTATCATTCCCACAAGTTTCAATATATCTCCGGACGCATTCCGTGCAGTGTGCTCTGTTGGTAATACTTTCGGACACCCAATTAAATACCACGTTCGTTTCGAGATTAGTGTGATATCTGACGCTGTGTCCAATTGCAATCGAATATAAACACCATTAACAATTAATTCCACATATCTTCTTTTATCCGCTACGCTTAGAGCCAGTGTAGAATATACGCTGTTTATATACTTATTTTGGTACTGGTACGGACGTCTGGTTTGTTTTGATTTCAAACTTTCTCTACTTCGGCAGACTATTTCTTTGTGGCCAACTTTATTGCATATAGTGCATCTATGATTTCTAAACCAGCAAAATCTTGAGAAATGCCACGCACCACAATACCAACATTTAGTTGCAGGTTTAGGAGTTTTCGAGCGATATTTATGACTTTTGGTACTATTTTGTATTTGACCTGTCTTAACAGCATGAACAGAATTCGATGGCACAGCACTTTTGGTTTCCAGCATAGCTGTATCTTGTTTTAAGTTTATTAATCGCTGGCATTCAGTGATAGTTTGTAACGTCATTTCATCATCATGTTCCATACGGGATAAAAACTTCATGCGACAGTCAGCATCAACAGGAGAGTTCAGACCAGAAATAAATAATAAGCATTTAAATTGATCACTGGTTAATACATTTAATTTAAATCGTTCTGCTTGTAAATTTACTCTTCCGGCGTACGTATTATAATCATCAGCCTCTTATACCGGATACGGAATAAAGACGCCTGTTCACAAAACATTTTATTTATGATGTTAACAGTTTCATCGAAATTAACTTCTCGCGGATGTTTAGGCAGAATATGGTTTTTATACTTTTGATGCTCATTAGGACCAAGTTTCTGTAGTAGCAGCCGGACTTTCTTCGCATCATCCATAGCAGCAAATTCTACTCGAAAAATATCTTCTACTCTGCCGAACCATGCTTCAAAAGTGTGACCGCTGTCTGCATCAAATATAAATTCTGGAATTGGACTGAGATATGATTCTATACCTCTATATTCTGGATTATCTTGTTGAATAGATAGTTTACCCAAAAGTGCCTCCAATAGTTGTTGTTGCGAAGCTAACATTTGATGCTGATGCTGTAATAATAATTGCAACTGTTCTGAAGAATTTGACATTTTTAAAAAATCTTACTGCTAATAATATTAATCCCAAAAACCACCGGCCAATTATCACAGCTAATTTCTTTCCAAAATCTGCATCAACACTTGTATTATGTTTTTCTTGCCAGAATCTGAGTCACCAATTTGTTGTATTAATTTTTTTTTGCCGGAAACCCCGTCGCCAATTTTTATGACCTTGGATGTCTGGCTTTTCTATCACACGATTTATTTTATCCTTACTTATGATTACTTTGTGTTCAGTTATTTTCTTACGCGATCACTTAGTTTTACACATAAAGTCTTTCTTTACTATATCCATGAGACTTTTATGGGCTTGAAATAGACATATTTACTCTATCCTTTTTACTTGTTTCAGACCTTAGCTACATAATGCTTTTATTAACTTTTCAGCAAATTCATACCTATATTCAAAGTTTGTCTGCAGTTCTGATATTGAAATATCACCGATTGTAACGGATTGACAAGAAAGTTTATGTTACTTTATTCAAATCACTGTTCTTTTTTCAGACTACTAAAAGAAACTATCAGTGTTACAAGATGAATAGTTCATTAGTTCTATATATATATATATATATATATATCATGATATGTGCAGTGTAAAATATCTATAACAGGATGGAAATACGAAACACGGAAATATAACATTCATTTTGTTCTTACATACATACATAAATTAAAATTGATATGAAAACTTTGACTTAACTCATTATGAATTTAATGGAGAATATTAGTCAGTTATCTAAAAAGAAACCATGACATTTCTTATAAGGATGCTAGATGAAATACAAAAAACTATCAACATATGAACATCTAGTGTATTACTACTGACTTAGGTTGACAAAAACTTATCGAAATACAATACTATATGCGCCTATTCTGTCTATTACAGTCCAAAGATTAATATATATCCGATCAAGCTGTAAGTAATGATGAAAAAGTCAGAGACGAAGCTATCGCAAAGAATTAATGCTATACACTTCGACCTAAACATTTAGTAAAACAGTTCTAATCTAAATCTAGTCTTAATTATAGTTATTATTATATGAAAGTTCTTCACACTTTTATCAATGAAGGATAGAAGTGAGAAAACTTATTTCAAATCAATTAAGGAAACTAATTTATTTTTTTAGAAACTTCTTGAAACAGAAAATATTCTAAGTTTTGTTACGCTACAAATTTGTGTTGTGATAAACAATAAAACGTCTGTGTGTATAAAGGATAATATATTACATTAAAACATACATCAGAAAACCATTCAAATTAGATTTACAAGAATGTAAATGAAATGAGGAAATTTACGCATATATTCTTTACTGCTTAACTGATAATCTACCAAAACCAAGTAAATTTTAATGCTTCCATCATCATTAATAATCATTGAACGTAGATGGTAACAATTTAGTCACTACGATAATATGTGTTTATTTGTTTATAATCCACATGATAATTCGTCGATTAGTAAATGGTCTTTTCTAATTATAATTTGTATATAAGATGCCAAGTTTATGGATCACGTGAATCTAGCCAATATTATACAACAATAAAACTCATTTATATGGTAAGAGGATAACAAGTGACCATTTTTAGAAGCACTTTTATTAAGACTGTCTTTTATAGGGATATTTAAAATCTGTATATACAATGTTGATCTTTCTAAACGATACAGGATAACATACTTAAAGATAAACCAACAAGTGAAGCAAATGAAAAGGTCATTGTACCCGAAATGGGTTCATAGCTAATAGCGATTTTTATCGCATAAAAGTAAAGATTGGAATTTTTGATAAAAGTGGAGTTTTTAGGAGTATTGCCAAGAATAATTTATGTTCAAAAATAAGGCCACAGTCTAAAGACCTTGCACTTTAAAAGAGAACTAAAACTTAATAACATTCTTTTGAAATGGTTGAATTTATTTAACTTATTTTTAAGTGTATTTTAGCAATTCGTTTCCTTAGAATCACTGTAAAAATTTCTTTGCCAAGTGAATTGTGTAGTATAAAGAAAGATAATTGAATATATAAGACAAGGCTTCATACAAAAACATTTCGTCATATATTATCGTATATTCTAACTAAATACCTTTTACTTTTAAAATGAAAGCACCTAGACGATATATATTTATATATTCTTTCCTGTTGAATATTTGAAGTGATTTACTAGGAAACTGTCAACTTTAGTCAACTAGGTGTTTCTATGATTCCAAGGATGACTACTGTCTCTAAGATATTTAATCTCCTACCACGAATCATAGAAAAATCAAGACATGTCATTCTTCATCTACCCGAGTTTTGAATAAATTTACCTGATTCATACTAAAAAAAATCACAATATACGGACAAAACGATAAAAGGATTTCTCTAGAAAGGTTATCAAAGAATAAGTTAATACAGTCATACTTACTGCTCTGTCAAAACAATCTGTTTTCTTCAATAAACTATGTGGTATTCTCAAGTCAGTTGTAGAGGCCACCAATGATGGACTTGATATATTTTCCCACCTTGATGCGATTTCAAGAGCGGCTGATGTTTTCTCTTCTTTCGTTTTTTGTGGATCTAATAGGACAGCTTCATAAAATTCTTGTATATCTTTATGTTTTATTTTGTTTTAACCCACAGAAAAAAACCCAGTGAAAACGAATAGTTATTTTGATTATAAAGCTGGTTAAGTAGTGTATGAAAATGCAGACTTGTTTTTCTTTAATAAAAATAAAATTACCCGTGGTTATTTTTTTAAAAACCTGAATGTATCATGAACTTTTAATGCAAACGACTAAATAATAATGATGATAATATTAATAGTAATAGTAATACTCTACGATATGTAACATAACTTAGACTAATAAATGGAAAATTTAGCTGTGATTTTAATAAACAAAAGGTTGTTGAGCACAAGACTCAGGATTTTTTTCTTTTCGTAATCCGGCGTTTCCTTTTTATCCCCGATTCCGACGCTTGTACAACATCTAAATTACCACGCATATATTAAACCGCATTGTAACTTGACGAAATTAAATATGCTTCTAAATGAATATACCTTTTACTATAAAGAATATCAAATAAATATTTTGCTTAGATCTCAAGGGAGATATTACCAGTAAATTATTATCTGGATCCTTATATACATTTTTCTTGTTACAAAATAAAATGAACCATTTTTAAATAACTTATAAGACTAGTGTTAGAGATTAAGCATAAAATCCCTACTTTTCAACCGTACAACTAAGTTAAAAATGCATAAAAACACAAGGGTATCAAAGCTATATACAGATAAAAATATGTTAAGATTATTAGGAGAAACATTATGTAACAAATATATCTTGTTTACTGGTAGTGAAATTGAATTAAATCATATAAGCTATTGTTTTTGTTGATCGTACGAGTACTATCCAAAAGATTCACATTATGCTAACTAAACTTAACAATTAGCGAAATGGTTAGTATGTGCTATGTGAAACATTGACATTCTATTCATATATTACCTAATATACAGCTGTCCCATAAAATATCTTCTATATAATCGTTTTGTGATTTTTATCGTTTTAAAAACATGGTATGTAATTGTAAAGCGAAGACAACAAGCTTTAAACTCTTAGATCTAGTTATTTTGATGTATTTTGGCCGGTTGGAGGAACACTCTTAACTTTACCTTGAATATGAATAGTTTTCTATCCTTCTCTTTGATCATCAAACCTATGAGAAATTCAAATTTCGAATATAATATTTATGGAAATAAAAACAAAAAACTTAGTTGAATCCTGTTGAGTATAAGTGCATTCCTGATAGGCTTGATGCTAAGTAGAAGGTATCATATTGAAAGAACAACAGACGTATAAAGTAGCTGTGTGTTTGAGAGTAGAGAAAAGGAGCAATCGTTTACGTGTAGGGGAATCAGCAAGGAAAGAGTTAATGAAAAACCACCAAAAATAAATTTTTAAAAATGGTAAGTAATAACACTTGAATCAAATTCAGTTTTTGTTTTACTTAATAAATGCAGTTTAGGATCAACTTGCTAGTTAAGTTCAAACTTGTTCTCACCTAACTTTCAGTTGAATTTAACCTGATGAATTCATTTATTTTACAACGATAAGCTAGCTAAGCCTCTGATCTGAAAAATTCTTTGCTCAGCTAGATATGCCGACATACCAGATTGATGTTTACTCTGAGACTCGAACCCAGTACCGTTCGCTTTAAACGCCATCGCGCTATCCACTTAGCTACTGAGTCCTGATAGCCACTTTCTTGTGCAACGGGGTGAAGTTTAAATTCATTTCGTATTGTTTACTTGAATCTTCCCATTGATGTTTTAGGACTGAAATTGATCAGTCTCTTATTGTCATATTTGTATCCTGTACGGATTATCTCGTCATTACTCTAAGTCTTAAGCGATGGAATTTGAAGCAAACGGTACTGGTTCGAGCCTCAAGTTGAACATCAACTCTGGGATGCAGGTACGTCCAGATGACGAGTCCCAAAAGGAAACACGCGTCCTGGATTCCACTGCTGGCCACCATCCATTTCTGCTTATAAGGCTCGTGAATTAAGACAATATCGGGGCAATGCGTAGGGTATGCACATATACCAATAAGAGACTGATCAATTACAGTCCTCAAAATCAACGGGAAGATTCAAGCAAAGAATACCAAGTGAATCTATTCTATGCTATGTTTACTTGATTCCTTACGATTAACTGTTGAATCTATAAACATTTAACAGTAGAGGAGATGTGGTCAAGAGAATACAATTCATCTAGAGGACTCTAGTCAGAAAGGACAAAAATAACCCAAATAACGACGAAAATAATTGACCCATGAAGGAAGTATTGGTTTCAAAACTTTTCAAGGGATTAACAATAAATATATTTCCGTGATTTTGAGATAATTTACAATTTGTTTTGGAAAATCTGTTCATACAATTGTTGTAAATTCGAATATTACCCTTATATCACGGCGTGCATATTTTAAAAGATTACCAATAAGATTGCTCAACAGAAATTAAATCTTTGATAATATTCAATATTTAATTAACAAATAAAACTCTTCAATGACATAATACTTTTGCTAAGAGACCCTAACGATAATAACGGTTAGAACTGGAAGTTCTTATAACAAAATTCCGATAACGAATATTTTGTAATTAATTAATTAAACAATCATACGTCTTGCAGAATAAAAATTATACTTTAACCTACCAAGTAGACCCAAAAACAGTCTACTTTGAAACACATTCATCAACCGATTAAGAGCTTGGACGAGTAAACCATCTTTTTCATTGTCTAAGCGGTTACGGTAGTTTGTTATTTGATTTAAAGCTAGATGTGCATCTATAAAAACATAAAACAAAAGTACATTTTATAGTTACAATATATAAATTCAGTGCTATCAAATATGACGCTATGGGTAGTTACAAATTTCCATTAGTTTAAAGAAAACGCAATAGTCTGTACTTAAGAAATACGCCGTCAAACTTCAAAACCGTAGGTAAATATTGAAGTATGACAACTTTACACTATTGTATACGTATCTCTTAATGTGTAGTTACTGCCAGTCAACACTAAAAATAAACTTTATAAGAAGCTGGCTGACTGTAGATAGCTTTGAAGAATATTCGTTTTCGCTCCGAAAAATTCCGCCTTCTTGTTGTTAATTTGCAGTTATATTGTATGAAAATATCATCAATATGTACAACACCTCATACCACACCCATATTCTATAAACATCTTTGACGTGTTCAGTTAGTAATGAAAACTGAAGAAAATGACGTAGATACTGTTTAACGTCTTAAAGTGTCATTCAATTTGTCCCGGAAGCAAGGCTATTTGAAAAGTCACTGTCCACCAACTTCAACATTTGAAGTTTTCAAGTAATGTTGCAGCAAAAATCACATAACGTCTGGGTAAAAATGTGCAGTTTTGTAGCACAGATATGAAATAATTAATTAAATTAAACTTTGAATACCTACAAGTATTGTTATCCTAATCTTACTGATGTCTTCATAAACTTTCTGGCTGCAGATCATGATTTATGTTTTCCAGCTTTCTAGAAATATCTACGTTCACAGTTTATACCGCACCTTAATCATACTTCTTTGATTTTTATATAATGACGTATAGTCAGTCCCAGAAAGTACTTATTTTCATGAAACATATTCCCATAGGCTTCAAAGAAACTTCATTTATAATGAACATAACAGAAAATGTATGCTACAAATCGAGCCGGTATAGTTTTTTTCACACACAATGCACAAAGATAGCTTATGTAATGAATTTGACTTCAGATTTTTTCGTGATTTCAATCGAAATCAACTAACTGTTGATTTTCTAGTGGCACTATTGTCGTATTTAGTTATATTTCATAGCCTTCCTTACGATTATTGATACACTTCTCACAATTACACTGTTTTCTGGGAAGCTTGAGTCCTCATCCCAAAAATTTAGTTTTAAAAAACCTGAGAAATTAAAATGCCTTGGGTGAATAGGAATCATAGAATTCCAAATTACAGTGACATAAATTTCGCAGTCACTTAACCTGTCTGAATGATTAGATAATTATGTTAGTTCTTAAACTGCGTAACGCTAACACCCTTCCTTAGTAAAAATCTTGAGTATTTATAGAAATTTCCAGGCGATTCGCTTTAATGAGTTGATCAGTCATGTGCAATGTGAAACCTGTTACACCTGTTCTTTAATACTTTGCCCAAAATCCGAAAAATTCAACGGTTAAAAGGTAACTTTATCATATTCAGGTAAAAAAAATTGCACAACTATCTGTCAGATAAGCAGGGCACATAAATTACTGCTTGTTTCTAAATAAGAAAATACCAGATGGACATTTACATGCAATCAACGTAAAAATTAATAGAACAGTGCATGATCAATCTTAATCAGTAACCAGAATGGGGTTCATTATGAGTGACAAGCTAGATGGCAATAATGTATTCAGTATACGAAAGGATTATAAGAACTAATCCTACACTTCTAAGCTTCCGAAAATCAAACCACACTTGTTTTCTAACGTAATGAGTGACACTCCTACCAGTGAAATTTCTAGAATCGTGAATAAGCCACAACGTGATCAACAAAAGTTGACATACTTGACCAACCACTTGGCCTCAAGCAACCTCATCTCTACTCAAGAAATAATTATCTTCTATACTCGTAATAAAAAAATAACAAAATTTTTATTCTTTACATCCGTGCTTATTTCAAAGCTTACCGGAAATCTGGGACCACAGTTTATAATTTTTATATAGTTGAGCTTTCACGGGTGAGAACTGAGTTCATTTATAGCCCGCTTCCTTTGGTTGCAATAGACCTTACCTTATTTATCAGATCAGTGATTTCAACTTTATATTTACTTCGTCCCTGTGCACGTAATCAAAACTATTGTAAAATTAGTAAATCGAAAACTAATTACGAGACAGACTTTGGAAATACCCACAGAAATCACAACCGGTACTCCAAAATTGAAGGATTTGTCAAATAATTTATCAACCAAATTTTCAGATTACGATTTCATAACCATTGGTTGATAAAACGCCTGTGGAATCTGGCGTGCATATCAAGTACAGTTCTTTTTGCAAACAACCGACGCTTATGTATAGCACTAATTTATCAACATTCCCCACTTAGTATCATAATAAACATGATAACGAATTTGGTTGAACATATTACTGCCAGACTACTTCCGAGAATACTTTGTAGAACTGTAGGTCATATTCGGTCTTAAGATTTGAAATGTAAAGCTAGACCAGTGAGTTTATGGATAAATATGAAGCATAAAAAACAAGTCATTCCAGAATTTACGGCGGTTGCAAAAACGTCTTTTGAACAAGGCAGATCATTTAACATAAAGATCTATATAGACCCAACATCAGACAATGAAGAACTGAAAGATCATTAAGAATTACCAAAGGCTTGATAAATAGAGTATTTAGTATTAAGTCTATATTCTCAAAAGGAAACCGATAAATCCGCATTTTATAACTTTCAGGCTCATCGTTTATCTCTGGTAAGCTATTGTATTCATCTAGGAGTACAAGAAGAAACCAGAGAACAACAGGCTGGTTTTTCTCCTTAATATGGTTTAGAAATATAATGAGCATACTGATGTTGTACACTCTTGTTATAACGTGCCACCCGCATAACTTAAATTGTAAATGGGTGATATCGCATTAATTGGTGCCGGAATATTAGAGAAATATGACTAAGTTTAGATGAATATGGTTGGAAATAAACGGGTGGGAGTTTAATTTATGGACTACCTTTGAGCGATGCTGAAGTAACCTTTGAGAAGTGTAACCATTTGCTAGGGTTCGAGGTGTTAAAAACCAGTGTGAGATATTAGGGTTAATATTTAGAGTCGGTAGTGAGGGTTGAAAATGAGAGCTAGTGTTTTTGACACGAAATGACATCAGCTATAATGAGTTTAATTTAAACCTGTATTTGATTTATTTTTTCCGTAAATCTTCGTCCCATCAATAATTGTCCTGTTGGGAAAATGTGAAAGTGTGGGGATATATCAACACTAAAAATCTGAATAACTTGTCATTATTATATAAACTGATCTTTCATGAGAAGTTGATTAAAGAAACTTGTGGGAAAAGTGCACGAGCAAAATAAAAAGCTCGTCCTTAAAATACAAATCTAATAACGGGATTAATCTTCCACCAAATATTTTATAGGTAGAAAAGAAAATACTTAGTTTCAGTCAGTGTTTCGACAGATAGTATGTCTTGAAGTAACCCTAGTATGGGAGAACAACTAAAGCACATCATCAGACGTACTCAATACAATTTCAAAATTTAAAATGAGGACTGGGTATTAACAATGTCCAGTTTGTCAAATATATCAGGCTTATATATAAGCCAAAACTGATAAGATTTTCCACAAAATCAAGGGATTGGGTACATTCACTGTACGAAGTTGTACGGAAATTATAAGTCTTAGGTCACCGGAAAATGCACCACGTTTTATTTGAAAATAGGAAAATTGTAGCTAACTTGATTAAATGTATATGGTTAATGTGAACTTACCCCTTTTGTTTTTACAAACAACCATTTCTTCATGTTACCGCTTTTTGGCACATGTACTGTATTAATTGTTTTGAAATACTTTAACAAACCGTAACTCATGCCTGTTTATAGAACTAAACATTGTACCAGAACGATAGCTAGGATCAATGTGAGGGTCACTATTAGAAAAATAACCTTATTTCCGAAGCATTGTTTAGCACTGATTTGATAATTATTATGTCAAATTTGAGAGCAGACAAAGGCATTTTACCACTTCTTCCTTCACCCGTTTTTCTACTCAGCCAACGTATCATCATCGCCATAAGATGTGCAACAAAAATGATTGAAGTGCAAATATGCTTATTAATTCCGAATACATTTTGTAGATTTCTAGTCATATCATATGTTTAGTCTCAAAACTGACATCAGTGATATTTACAGAAGAATATCTACTAGAATAGGAATGAAATTCCACTAGGCAACTAAGTGCCTGCATTAAAGAAGTCCTCCAGACTAATCGATCAAATAATCGTTTCGTAGAGGTTCGTGGAGTTCGTAGAGTTTCTGGGACACCACATCGACTCACATGGTATCACACCACTACAAGAAAAAGTAGAAGCTATTATCGATTACGCAGGGCCAAATTCAATAAAATCACAACGTTTGTCTCTTGATATTTGCAATTTTTACCGTCGTTTCTTACCTAATTGCGCAGCAACTTTACAACCTCTAACAGATCTTTTGAAACAGGATAAAAAAGAAACAAAGTTAAAAAGACGATGTCTTCACTTTACTGCCCTATTCAAAAACTGCTTTCGATAAAGCAAAGTCTATGATGCCAAATGCTACTATATTGCAACACTTAAATTCTGAACCCAAAACACACCAAATTTCTGCACTCATACATCTCAGAAAGCTGTATGTGCGGTATCACAACAACGAGTAAACGACATTATTACACATAAAGCATTCTTCACTAAACGACTCTCGTCAGCTCAGGAACGTTACAGCACCTTTGGATGTGAGTTACTAGCTGTTTATTTAGCAACAAAGCATTTCGCCTTCCTGTTACAAGAACGTGAATTTACGATAATGACTGATCATAAACCCTTATATTATTCCCTTAACACGTCATACTTCCGACATTTACCACGCGAAGCACGACCGCTGGATTACATCTCACAATTCACAACAAATATCCAGTTCATCAAAAGGACATTTTAATATCGTAACCGACACTTTTTCTCGAATGGATATCAATATGCTTGTACATAAACAGGATATTAACCTCAAAACCACAGCTAAATTATAAGTATAGGGTGCAGTACTAAAAACCTTCAAAGAGAAGTACAACATGATTTTCAAACCTATGCCTATTCCTTTCTCTGATTCATCTATTGTCTGAGATGCTTCAACTAGTAACAGTCTTTTTTAGCAAAGCTTATCGACGAAGGATATTTCAACATCTATATGGATTCTCACACCCCATCATCAGTGCCGCAACCAGGCTTCCGGAAGTGAACCATATCAAAACAACAACTTACCATTCAGTAGCTAATTCGTTGGTTGAGAAAACTCACCGCCAAATGAAAAGCTTACTGGTGGCGCAATCTGATACATTGGAGTGACGCACTACCAACTGTACTACTTGGAATTCATTTAACTATCAAAGAATATAATGGTCGCACATAAGTCGAACTAGTCTATGGTACAACCTTAACAATACCGGGTTAACTACTCGACCCTAATACAACATTGTCAACTGATCCAATCCGCTTTGAGAGCCACCACTTGCAATCTATGCAAAATGTCAAGCAATACTTCCGCGCGAGCATAACAATCGCGTACAGCTCGATAAACAACTGCAAACGCGTAAATTCATCTCCATTCGAGTAGCTAAAGCAACCGTACGAAGGATCTTATCAGGTAATTAGACGGACAAATAAGCACTTCCTCATTAACAGAAATAAAAAGAAACTGTCTCTGTAGACAGAATTAAACGAGCTTTCTGCAAAGACCAGCAAGACAAGAAAATACTACCACAGACAAACAGCCTATGCCATTATTTATTACGAAATCAGAGGAAGACAAAAAAACAAGCAGTAATCCTACATGTTTAACACTCTCAGGCAGAACTGTAAAGAAGCCCAAGTGTTAATTTCATTTTGCCGAATAACGAATCATAACAAACAATCATTGATACATAATACACTATTAAATTCATTCACTTTTGCAGTAAAAACTGCTATTTTTCCGCACAAAGTGTATACAGTTAATTATACTTTTTCCATAACTAATCGTTTTGTCACATTTTTTAAAATTGTCGCAGTAATAGACAAGTGAATTCTCGACATCTATTTATTAATTATAAATAAAAATAAACATTCAAACATTTTATCAGCATATCAGTGGTTTCGCACATTATCACTCTTCCGTCCGATAACATAACATGTAACAGTTAGGAACGAATCTGCGGACAGTTAGAGTCCCATTTGACGACAACACTTATCTTAGCTAAAAAAAACTAACTTCGGCTCTCGATATCTGAAAATAATACCCAAACAAAACGTATCAACATTTTGTAGCATAAGACTAGCCAGCTTGCCTGAAGAAATACATTGACTTGAGTAGCAGCAGCAAAAACCCAGAAAACAATGCCAAATCGAAGAAACTTTGCACCAACGTTTAGAATATTACACTAACTGCGGTATTTTGGCATACTGAATCATTAAACTATGTGGTTACACAAAAGAAATAGCTGAAAAAACACAGGACGAGGAAAGCCAACCGCCGTTGCCCACAAAGATGTCGTATATAATTATTATCGCTTCATTCTGATTGGTCACTAAGCAGGCTGCCACGTTTACGAAATGGAGTTGCGTTTAATTGAAGTGTGACACACATATAACCGTTCACAAATACACTGCTACAAACACACATCGCTTGTTCTCCATTGCCTGTTGCTACGATAACTGAACTCTAAAATATATGTCATCTACATTCGTAGACCACAATCATATTTTCATTAAATATCCATCTGGCTTTAACGCTAGAATTATAACAAATTTCATTAGAATTATTAATCACCCGTAATTGTGGATTATTACACCAAATGCGGCTCAAACACGCCAAGGCCTGTCAATTTAAGTAATAATCCGTAACTTTTTCTTGTGTTGCTAAATTATATTTAATATATTAAAACATTAATGCAATAACTTTCTTACCATTTTTGAGTTACTATAATTTTTGGCCCACCACAAGTTAAATAAATCCCTAAAATAGGTACGTCTATAGGCCTTTAGCTTTGATACTGACTTCATAAGTTTTACTGAGTGCACTCTGGCTGAATCTCCTCGTGCAAGTATCCACATTAAATCATTGTTGGATACGCCCTATTTCTTATCCATTGCAACAATTAAGCCGCTTAAGTTGTATACATCTCGAAGCATCAACAGTTTTCCGAATATATCCTTAGACCCCTTCATTCGCAACTTCTAGTTTGACTGGCTTGTGCTCCTCAATTAGATGAGTGTTAATGACAATCGAATATCCATAATATATTTAGATTTTACATGGTATAAGTACTGAACGATAAAAACATATGCAAGAACAATAAATTTGTCAGGAACCACGTGATTAGTTTTCCAAAAATCGGCTGCTACAGTCCGTTTTGCCCATATCTAGCTATTTTAGGAATTTGGTGTCATTTATGGATAGTCTGGGGACTATAATCACATATTGCCCAATATCAATTGCGAAAGAAACTCAGTTTTTGTCATCCGACCTTCGAGCAAATAAATTATATACCTTATTCATACCATACCACAGTGTCACAAAACATTTGCAAACGTGACTTAGAAACAATAATATTTTAACTGCTTCAACGTCTGACTCAACTGTAACAGTGTGTTCTGGCTACAACCTCAACAAAGCCGCGGTGTAAAAACATAATAGTGTGGTATACGCAAACCACAAGGAATCCTGGAAATGAAGTGTAGCCGAGCGTGGCATCGAAGGCGCAATAATTGTCGAACAGAGTAAAGGGTTTAGTTTTTCATACCCCATCACCTATTTTATTTAATTAGCAAAAACATTACCAAGAAAACGTAGTCTGCAATATTATGCTATCCACACTTCTTAGATTTTTTACTCTTGATACATGAGCGTTATATTCATTTTTTTATTGCTGAATACATAAACTTTTTACCCGTAAACACACGATGAGTAATATAAGGCGAATACATATAAAAAAGGGTAAGTTACAAAAGAATGAAGAATCTCCGACTAAAGTGAGTGATGTTAGCTGCGGAAGCAGAACTAAGGTGTTTTTTGATAGATAGATTAATCGAACAGACGTTCCTACGGAAACCGATTCTAGTAGAAAGCTAATTTAACAGCTGAGGTTGATTGGTTAAGCGTTGACCCCAAACAACTAAGTATTTGTCAAAACAATAGAGATTAACTATTCATTCACTTCAATATTTTGTACAGGCATTATATTTGCTATTGTCTTATATTGATTGTTGAAAAACATGTGTTCAAACGAGTAACCTCCCCTCCACCGTGTACTCGTTTCACGAGAACATAAAGACCTATTCACTACTAGTATGGTTTCTTCTTTCAATAGAACGGTTGTTACCTACTGGCACGAAAACTGCATACGCAGCATAGTGAGAGCCATTATCAGTCACTAACACTATGGGAATCGCATCTCGACTAAATACCATTCTTAATGCTCGGATTGTGTATTCCAAATTCGATCAAGTTGTGAAAAAATTCAGGCCAATTCGGAAACGAATCAATAACAACATGTGCATAGTATATGCCAAGAAATGAACCACAGTAGTTCGCATGAATTCTCTACCAGGCATCAGATAATACTGTTCATGGAGTCCAATTCGAAGAGAGACTTTTCAACTTATAACACTTTCCAAAATCGTTTGCCGTACGACATATATCCGCACTTATCTCCGGCCACCAACATGTGAGCTTTGCCAGGAACTTCATTTTGTCAACACCCAAATATCCACTATGACGATCTTCATG